TATGTAAGAAACAGGAGGGGGGAAATATAGATATTTTTGGCTTTAGATGAATTGTAAAGAACTTAATCAAATTTACATAAAGGTGGAGTCCCCAGTAGAGTCCTCCTTGACATCAGGAGGCTCCAAGAGAGTCTCCCTTTACATGGGGTGTCTCCAATAGTGTCCCACTTTACATCAGGTGTCCCCAGTAGAGTCCTCCTTGACATCAGGAGGCTCCAATAGAGTCTCCCTTTGCATCAGGTGTCTCCAATAGTGCCCCACTTTACATCAGGTGTCCCCAGTAGAGTCCTCCTTGACATCAGGAGGCTCCAATAGAGTCTCCCTTTACATGGGGTGTCTCCAATAGTGTCCCACTTTACATCAGGTGTCCCCAGTAGAGTCCTCCTTAACATCAGGAGGCTCCAATAGAGTCTCCCTTTACATCAGGTGTCTCCAATAGTGTCCCACTTTACATCAGGTGTCCCCAGTAGAGTCCTCCTTAACATCAGGAGGCTCCAATAGAGTCTCCCTTTACATCAGGTGTCTCCAATAGTGTCCCACTTTACATCAGGTGTCCCCAGTAGAGTCCCCCTTTACATTAGGTGTCCCCAATAGAGTACCCCTTTACATCAGTTGTCCCCAGTAGAGTCCCCCTTTACAATGGGCGTCCCTAGTAGAGTCCCCTTTACATCAGGTGTCCCCATGCTTCCAAGTTGTTACCCCCCTCTTTTTCCCCCTTGTACTGGCAGATCGGTACTCACTGGAATGAAGGCAGTGTCTCCTTCTTCTCTCCAGTCAGGTGACATGTCAGCCTGACTCTATTTTGCCCCATGCAGGCTGGAGGGAGGAGAAAGCCGAATCTTCCCTGCCTCCAGCAGCAGCTATCAGCCGCTGCTCCTTCTGACAGGAGTGACACTGCAGTCACTTCTGTCAGAAAGGACTGGGATGAGCAGCCAACTTGGCAGCATTCCCAAGGAGCAAGGAGTGAGACGATCAGCAAACTCGGCAGTGTCCCCCCTCAACACCTGGAGCAGGTGCTCCCACAACTGCCCACTCCTCCCTCCTCTTGTTCCGACCATGGGTGGGACTGAGGACAGTTCCCTGTCTCAGCACCAGCTCTATTTTGCCCCATGCATGCTTGAGGGAGGAGAACGCCAAATCTTCCCTCCTTCCAGCAGCAGCTATCAGCTGCTGCTCCTTCTGACCGGAGTGACACTGCAGTCACTTCTGTCAGTAAGGAGTGAGACGATTGGCAAACTCGGCAGTGTCCCCCCTAAACACCCAAGGCAGGTGCCCCCACAACTGCCCACTCTTCTCTCCTCGTGTCCAACCATGGGTGAGACTGAGGACAGTTCTCTCTCTGCCTCAGCACCAAATCTATTTTGCCCCATGCATGCTTAAGGGAGGAGAAAGCCGAATCCTCCCTCCCTCCAGTAGCAGCTATCAGCTTCTGCTCCTTCTTACAGGAGTGACACTGCAGTCACTTCTGCCAGTAAAGACTGGGAAGAGCAGCCAACTTGGCAGCATTCCCCCCTCAACACCCGGGGCAGGTGCCACCAAAACTGTCTACTCCGCCCTACCCTTGTCCCGACCGTGGGTGGGACTGCGCTGTTATAGCCACTCAATGCCTTCCTACTGCACTTGGTGTAAATAGGATACCTGTACAAGCAGGGGCGGACTGACCATTTGGAAACTCGGGCACTGCCTGAGGGCCCCATGAGATAGCCCTGGTACCTTTTTCATATGCTTTTTTGAGTTTGGGCAAGGACACAGGGGCTCCATGATCCCCTATTGCCTGGGGGCCCCATAAGTTGTCAGTCCTCCCCTGCGTACAAGTCAATGTCAATGCATTGAAATGCATGCTACATGCACTGTGATGCTTTGGCAACACGTATTAATCATCCTTAATGGCTGTTGAGGCTATCCATTGGAAGTGTGCTTCAATAATGCATTTTAATGAACTGCCCACATTGCATAGAGAAGCACAGAGACCCAGTGATGACATCACTGGCTCTAAAGGTATACAATGAAAATGGAAATGATTTATATAAAAACTTTATTACCACGTAATAAGGGGGGAAGGGGAGGAGGAAGCAGGGAAGGCAAAAAAGCAGATTAAACTTTAAATTTAAACCTTAAAAAGTTTTTTTTTTTTAAACTTAGAAAACAACTTGCTTTGGCTATCAAAGAAAAAGATTCCACCTTTAAAAGTCCTCCAAGTTTATTTTTATCCCCCAGCGTGTTCACGTTCCTTCACATGTGCGCCCTACGATCGTTTCCAATTAGCGCATAACGTCTTCCGCGACCCCGCTGTACATTTCGGTAATGATGTTCTGATGGCGCAGTCGATTGCTCTCCAAAATAAAGCCCATAAATTTCATCCCTTTTTACCCATTAGGTGGTTGAGTCCACGTTTGCCCCTCGTGAATCACCGCGCTGACCCCACACGCCGTGTTTTCATTGCTGCTTAATATGTTATTAAGGCGGCAGGGGCAAAAAAAAAAAAAACTCCTGACTCAGCCGCAGTGGCGGAAAGAAAAATTAAAACGTCTGTGGCCGCCGATTCTGACCGACGTTCCGCTTCGCTGCTCCCTAATTTATTTCACTTTACTGTAAAAAAAAAAAAAAAAAAAGAAACTTTCCGATGCCAAAAGTCAGAAAGTTTCCGTCTTCACAGATCCTGGACAGACTTATGCCCATGGCGGTAATTGGCTGTACTCAGATGGCAGAGTTATGCCCAGTAATGGGTTTTTTTTTTTTTTTTTTTTTTTTTTTTTTTTTTTTTTTTGTGGTTAGGTTAGCAAGATATTAGTCAGGCGGTTCTGTTTAACAATGTCAGCTTGCTTACAGGGAAAATTCACTTTTTTTAAAAAAAGTCATTCCATCCAAAATGTATATATTAACACTAGGAAAGGCTGGTGCTAAACTATATTGTGCCCTAAGCAAGACCAGCTACTTGCGCCCCGCCCCCCCCCCCCCCCCAAAAAATTTTTTTTTTTTTTAAAAATTAAAATGTTTAAAAACAGAAAATAATAAATCAACAAAATGTGAAACTATTATATAACCTTTTTGTGATATATCAAAAATTATGATAATATTATAACACATTAAAAAATTAAAATCAAACCATAAAGTGTCCAAATACCAATAAAGTCCCGAAAGTGTCCAAAATTTCAAACTTTCATCCAATAAGAAGGATTGACTCCTATTTGATCCGGTGAAAACCTCAAAATAAAGAAATAAATCCTCTAGTGTATTACCTTTTATACAAAAAGAATAATTATTCAGTGCAAATCACAAACCACTCCAAAGAAAAGTGGCAAAAAAAACCCCAAAAAACTCTGTGATCACTGCAACACTGTGTACACACTGTGGACCAGCACCCAATAGGAATAAATACTATTACCCTCTGTAAGTATTAATCAGCTTATCAATAGTATGGATCATAGTCCTCCATTCTCTCTTCAAAGATAATTTTCCAAGGTCCTCAGAAAGACAAGAAGGGTCTTAAGACTGATCTTCAAAGCATGGGAAAATTTAATAGCAACTTACATTAAAAAACAGAGATTCCAGCTCTGACCATGGCTCCTGTACAGGCTTCAACAAACAATGCAGAAAACCATGTGTGGATAACCAACAAAATGGCCACGGCGACACTTCCGGTTAGCGTGCGAGCGTCTTGACGTCACTCCTCTAACGCGTTTCGTCACTTCTGGACTTCAGACGAAACGCGTTAGTGGAGTGATCCACAGTGTGCTGGTCCACAGTGTGTACACAGTGTTGCAGTGATCACAGAGTGTTCACAGTTCATAGTTTGTGTTATATGTGCACATATAAGGAATTACCTTTATTAAAAAAATTTTTTTTTTTTTGGCACTTTTCTTTGAAGTGGTTTGTGATTTGCACTGAATAATTATTCTTTTTGTATAAAAGGTAATACACTAGAGGATTTATTTCTTTATTTTGAGGTTTTCACCGGATCAAATAGGAGTCAATCCTTACTGGATGAAAGTTTGAAATTTTGGACTTTTTGGACACTTTTGGGACTTTATTGGTATTTGGACACTTTATGGTTTGATTTTAATTTTTTAATGTGTTATAATATTATCATAATTTTTGATATATCACAAAAAGGTTATATAATTTGAACTTTCTAGGGAGAAAGAGTGACTTTTTGAGGGGATTGTAGTGGAGAAGGTTATATATTTATTTGTTTAAAATGTGAAACTGCTAAATTTCTTTTAATTTGCAAAAGTAAGTGTCATAAGATGCCACCATCACAGGGGTGTCCCTAGGGTTGGTGTCACCCGGTGCGATAACACTTGGTGACACCACCTCCGACGATCCCCGTAGGATGGATCGGATCTGCGGATTGAGCATAATGGATCGGAGTCCGATCCATTATGCTCCCCAATCCGCAGATCTGATCTATTCTACGGGGATTGTCGGCTTGCTTTACAACTTACCTTTTGGTGGAGCGGGTCCAGTGTCACCCCGTGCGGTAGGTGACACCCGGTGCGGCGTGAACCCCCCCACACCTGCCTCGGGACGCCACTGCACCAGCATGAATATTAAAAACCAAATCAGTGTCACAGACACTGATGAATGGGAAGAGAAAGGCTAGAACTCCACAGTGTAGCCAGCTTTCAGTAAGGGACAGAATCTGAGAGGAACACTGGAATGAGCTGCAGCTCAGCTGCTACACTGGACCCAGACATCCAGCATCTTTCTCTGTCCTTTCCTCTTCCCCTCTGCCGCCCCTCCTCTCAGCTGAAGGATCATTCATGGCGACATCACACAGAGAGAATGCTGATCTGTGCTGCGCCCAGGTGCCCCTAGGTGGCAGTGAGCCCTAGGTAACTGCTTAGTTTGCCTAGTGGAAGCAGGGGTCCTGGCTCTAGGTGGAGCCTGGTGTGGTTGGGTCAGACCTCCCTGTCATAATTCCCAGCTGTGTTCCTGTCCACCTGGGGGTTTGGCGTGTTTCCAACCACCAGCTTTTGTGACAATCGGGGCGGACTGACCATTTGACTGCCCGAAGGCCCGGGGTCAGTAGGGGGCCCCATGAGATGCCCCTGGTACCTTTTTCATAGGCTTTTTTGAGTTTGGGCAAGGACGCAGGGCCCCATGATCCCCTATTGCCCAGGGGCCCCATGAGTTGTCAGTCCGCCCTGGTGACAATTGTAAAATTTTGGCTTTCCCATTGCTGTCATGGTAATCACAAGGCTTTGTTTATAATCATAAACCAAGTCAGACCTCCATGCCCTAATTCCCACTTGTGTTCCAGTCCACCTGGGTTTTTTGGGTGTTTCCACGCACCTGTTATGGTGACAAGTATAACATTTTTTGGTTTTCCCTTCACTGTCATGGTGATCACGTGGCTTTGTTTACAAGAATAGGATTAGGGTTACCATTAGGGTTAGTATTAGTGTGATGACACTTTAAGGGCTCATTTACATGGACGGCAGTCTTTGCGACGTCACTGAAAAGTGATCTGTGGTGGATTGCTCCAGGAATGGCTGTCAGGCATTCAGGAGGCAATACTGCCACCCCTGAATGCCTGTTTTTTTGCCAATCAAACAAGTATTTTAATGGGAATGCCACACCACCACTAGGAGCCTAGCATTCAGCTAGTGGTTGCTTTGCAGCCCCAGTGTTGGTATTGCCTGCTGAACATGACATGGGGTATAATTTTTTCTGTGACGGCAAAGCAAGGCATCGTAGCAGTGACATATGACCAAGCCAGCCAGCTTAAGGAAGATGGTCGGGGGGGGGGGGGCAGTAAAATCATAGCTCTGTGACTTACCTATCCCTGTACTCTGTGCATTACATACCCCTGACCCCTGAACTCTGTGTATTGCATACACCTGATCCCTGCACTCTGTATATAACATACTCCTTGGCCCTGTGCTCTGTGCATTACATATCCTTGACTGTTGCTTTGCATACTCCTGGCCCCTGTTCTGTGCATTATAAACTCCTGACCCCTGCACTATGTATATCACATACTCCTGACCTCTGCATTCTGTGTATTACATACCCCTGTACTCTGTGTATTACACACTCCTGACCCCTGCACATCATTGACTCTTGCTTTGAACACTCCTGGCCCCTGTAATCTGTGTATTATAAATTCCTGACCCCTGTACTCACATACTCCTGAAACCTGCACTCTGTGAATTACATACCCCTGCACTCTGTCTATTACATACTCTTGGCCTCTGCACTCTGTGTATTACATACCCCTGCACTCTGTGTATCACATACTCCTGACCCCTGCATTCTGTGTATTACATACCCCTGTACTCTGTGTATTACTGTACACACTCCTGACCACTGCACAATCTTGACTCTTGCTATGAACACTCCTGGCCCCTGTAATCTGTGCATTATAAATTCCTGACCCCTGTATTCTGTGTATCACATACCCCTGAAACCTGCACTCTGTGAATTACATACCCCTGCACTCTGTGTATTACATACTCTTGGTCTCTGCACCATGTGTGTTACAGACCCTTGACCCCTGCACTCTGTGTATTACATACCCCTGTACTCTGTGTATTACATTCTCCTAACCCCTGCACATCCTTGACTCTTGTTTTGAACTCTCCTAGCCCCTGTAATATGTGTATTATAAATTCCTGACCCCTGTACTCTGTGTATCACATAATACTGAAACCTGCACTCTGTGAATTACATACCCCTGACCCCTGTACTCTGTGTATTACATACCCTTGACCCCTGCACTCTGTGTATTACATACTCTTGGCCCCTGCACCATGTGCACTGCAGACCCTTGACCCCCGCACTCTGTGTATTACATACACCTGCTCTCTGTGTATTACATACTTCTGACCCCTGTACTTTGTGCTTTACACACACTAACTCCTGCACGCCCACCTGTGTAAATGAGCCTTCAAATCCAACCTTGTACAGAGATTTTGCTGCTTTGAAAAAAAACAATCGAAGCACCAACAGATTGAGGCTGTTCGCCATGTCTTGTTCACTATCAAAACTATGAAGGGATGCTAAAGGTAATTTCTGAGAGCCAGTGACTCTGATATATCAGATTGGACTAATCCGCAAGCGAATTGGACTCTGCACTGAAAACAAAGACCAGAAAACGTTCTATGAGTATCTTCCACATTTGATCCCACTTATTGCTGTTGCTTATTGTCAATCGTATAATATTTTTTTCTTTAAATATTTTCTTGCACTGTTTTTTCTTCTCTTTCATGATCGTTAAGCCATATCTCTGAATGCTCTAATTAGAATTAAAAAGAGCTTTTGCCTCTGTAGGGAGCTACCGTATTGTAAACTCTGTTACATTCCTGTGTGGGTGTTGCAGTGAGCGATACAGACTTTTGTCATGCTCTGAATGGTGTGTTTCAATTGAAACACATGGTGGTGGCTTGCACACATGTATGTAAAGGGTTAACCATGTAGTTAACCTGCGATAGTGATGCTTACTTTACTAGTGCTTAGATTGTTAACAGAGCAGCAAAATCTCTTCACAAGTTGAGGCAGAATGTGTAATAAGTTCCATTCTTCAGATGTATTTCCAGAGGTCTTCTCTAGAGGTCTCCAGAGGAGGTCTCAGAGATCTCCAGAGGCATCTCTAGAGTTAGTCTCAGAGATCTCCAGAGGCATCCAAGGGCTTATTTACCACATGGCAAACAAGGCACTTGCCAAGGGCAGCATTTTTCAGGGGGGCAACACCTCCTCCCACAAGAAGGGATATGTGAGCCATGGGAAACAGGTGAGAGGCTGCTTGATGGTGTATATAGAACCTGACTTTCATTCCTGGGGATGTCTGGAGCTTTGAAGATGAGTGTGTTTCTCTCTTTCTCTCTATCGGCAGGGGGGGCGGAAGTGGAAGGCTCTCCCAGGGTTGTTGTTGGTCAATGTCAGGCTCTCTCTGAGGGAGGGGGAAGGGAGGGTGGTGTTGGTCAGTGTCCATGGTGGCAGATGATTTTTGTGTTGCCTATGGCAGCACAAAACCTAAATACACCACTGAAGGCATCTCCAGAGATGGTCTCAGAGATCCCCAGAGGCATCTCTAGAGGTGGTCTCCAAAGGTATCTCCAGAGGTGGTCTTAGAGATCTCCAGAGGCATCTCCACAGCTGGTCTCCAAAGGTATCTCCAGAGGTGGTCTTAGAGATCTCCAGAGGCATCTCCACAGGTGGCCTCAGAGATCTCCATAGGTGGTCTCCAGAGGTGAGACCTAAGAGTGTTGGGTTACTGTAGGATAGCTCTAGAGTTAGGTTTAGCATTAGGGCTACAGGTAGGGGGTAGCATTTTAGGACAGGTTCAGGATGGTTTAAAAGTCCAGAAGGGCAGTATTTTCAATATGAATCTAAGGAACATGGAAATATGACCTCAAACTAGCAAATTATTATTTTACCAAAAGAGTAGTTGACGCTTGAAATTGGCTAAAAAAAAATAAGAAAACCCAACGGAAAAAGACCACTCAATCTTTTTCTAGTATGCCTCTTCTTTGTTTCTTTGTTAATTTTGCATTTAATGCTTTTCATTGAATTGCAAAATTTTGCTGTTCACTAAAGTGAAACCTCACAATTTTGTTCTTCCATACTGCTATTATTTTCATGGTAATGAAAGAAATTAGTTTGGAGGAAAACCCTTATCACTAGTAGACACAACGCATCCCCTTCTCTTGTCCTTCCAAGCTTTATGTTTACTACTGACGTACAGGTGCTCTTTAGAAGACAGAAGGGCCATCCCACACATTGCTGTCATCCATTCAGATTTATCTATAGCCATTCCTAGTGTCACTTCGTTGTCTCAGATATAACCGATAGCGTCTGTTGGAGACGGAATTTTGGTAGTGATCCATCAGCAGCAGCTGCCAAGAAGTTACCCACAAGACAGCCATGATGGCTCGTTGGCTGGCAGCCATTGCACTGTCGTGTCCATTCATGATCTCATTCCTGCTACAACATATTTGTCAGGAGCTGGAGCGGACAGGACGACAAAATACATTATAATTTCTTTCTCTTTCACTATTTCACTGCTGAGAAACAGAGGTGACTTCATGAGGGATAGTAGATCCGGTTGTCTTTGGGATATTGAGTTGTATTGTGTTATGACCAGGAGTTTCTATCTTTTACTAAAACCCAAACATTTCTTTTCCTATGTGTTGGGTGGATTGTGGAAGAATTACAACCCCTCTTAGGTTTTTAATTGCTACCTCAAAGCCAGATACTGAATTTTAAACAATTGTGACCTTCCAACCTTGTTTCAACCGTTTGGTAAAGGGCCTTTCTGCTTCACCATGACTGTACTAGCTTCATTGCTCGTTTTTTGGGGTACCATCAAAAAGCAATGTTACTTATCTTATCCTTTGCTATCTCGGGAATTTGCGTTCACTTCTTCCCTCTGACCCCCCTTCGGTTGCCCTCAGCACCTTCACTTGCAATGCGGGACTGTTGGTGCTCCATTTTTCCTTTTTCCAGAATCCTGAAACTGGTACTGTTGGTCAAGAGTACCCCTCCACCTTATCTTATCTTATCATCCCTTGCAGTCATGGCAGCTGGCGTTCACTTTCCCTCTGACTCTCCGGGTTTGTGGGCAGGCCCTTGATGCCCTTGCTTGCAATCTATTTATCTATTCTATTTCAGGTACTTATATAGTGCTGTCAATTTACGCAGCGCTTTACATATATATATTGTACATTCACATCAGTCCCTAACCCTCGAGGGGTGTACAATCTAAGGTCCCTAACTCACATTCATACATACACATACTAGGGACAATTTAGACAGGAGCCAATTAACCTTGCAATGCAGGACTGTTGGTGCTCCATTGTTCCCTTACTATATTCCAGAAAACTGGTACTGTCAAGAGTATCCTTCCAATTTATCTTACCTTTTTTCCCTTACTCCCCCAGGGGCTGGCATTCACTTCTTTTCTCTGACTTGGTTGGTTGTGATCAGGCCCTCAGTGGCCTCATTTACAATGCAGGACTGCTTTCCGGTTTACGGAATCCGGTGGAGGGCTACTCTTGACCAACAGCACTAGTTTCAGTAATCCAGTGGAGGGCTACTTGGACCAACAGTATAGGTTTCAGGAATCCGGTAGAGGGCTACTCTTTACCAACAGCATAGGTTTCAGAAATCCGGTGGAGGGCTACTCTT